TAACAAATGGCATGAACAACCCTTGCCTTCCTGCTGATTCTGTTTAGATAAACAACAGATCAGATGATGGGTGGTCATTTTTCCAACATAATACCAGTTTAGATTTTAATTAGTAAAACACAAGGATAATTGGAAAAGCATTCACACCACATATTCTTCAAGACTATAGAAATCTAAACCTGTAACATCTGCAGTGATGACTAGCTAATAACCAAATAATCATCCCATCACCACTTACACTTTGAACAAAAAATATTTATTCCTGTTACTTTCCTCAAGGATACTGGCCATTCACCTATCACCACTTTCTGGAAATTACACATAATATGAAAACTGGGATGATTAAACTGTCCAAAACTAGATTATATGGTGATGTAATCATCCATAAAAGTGCACAAAGATCATTTAACATGTGAATGCCATTTAGGACAGGGCTATTGCTCATGGGGGAGGGCAACCATTTAACACAGCAGAAACCTGAACTGTTTTATTGCCTATCTGAGCAGCTGTATTTATTTCAGCTGCTGTCCTTTTGACCACAGTAGGGGAGGGACACAACTCTCTCCATACATTTCTTTATCCCATAAACTGCAATGTCTCCAGAAGTGCTTCAACTGCCATTCTGTGGGCATGTTCTCTTTATTCACCAGAAGTTTTCATAGAACTTAACATCACAGTGGTATGGGGAAGAGACAAAGTCTTATGAGGAATGATGCCACGAAAGAAGACGTGACCTCCTCCCCTTTTTAAACTAAGGCAAGTAATGCATAGTCACTATCAGCACCAAGGTATCTTCACAACTTCAAGATCTTCCATAAAAGAACATCCACAGGTTTGTCTGGGAAACTCTTGGTAGTTGTAAGGATGCTTTCCAGTTCTGTTATTACTTTTTAAAACCTAATATAGCATATTTCATTCTTAGCACAGAGAGGTCTCACCCTCATCCTGATTAACAATGCCACATTAATAAAACATTCTTGTGTCTATTAATTCAAATAAATATTTAAGCACCAATGTAGCAGGTGCCAAGACACATGGACAATTAAGACACCATTCCTACTGGAACCAATCAATTCTTCCCAGTATGTGGCCTCTCAGTCCTCTGAAATCATACATAGTGGCTTTTTGTGGCTATTTAATAAATAATTTTGTGAGAGACCAACAGTATTATAGGAATGTCAACAGATTTTCCTTAAAGAGATAGCAAAACATTTGCAGAAATTCGGCCACTAATATCATCTGGCTATCCTGCACCCTGGACAGATTTTGACTAACAGTTATAATATGCAGTTTTATCAGTGTGGCTGGAAAATGATAAATTTATAATACATTCAGGGTCTGAGTACAACAGGATTAAATATGGGGTTTTGGAAAGATCAGTGGGCCAAGGAGCCATATGGTCTGGGTTCTCATCTCTGACACAGAAGCGTAGCCCTCATCATAGCCCATACTGAACTTCGTATCAAGGAACTAACCTTACCCCTGCCGGCTTCTGGTATTTATCACTGTCTTTTTAAAGATTTTAATTATAAAATGTAAAGACTTAAAAAAAACTGCAGAAGAGTTAGAACAACCAACCATATTCCTAACACTCATCTTTAACATTTTGTAGCATATTCCTACTGGCTTTAGGATTTTATAAATTAAATTTGAAGTTACTATTGAGAATTTCTTCCCCAATGCATACCCTCTCTCTACTCCAAAAGATGGCCATTATTTTTACAGTGGACCTATTCTCTCACAGCCATGTCTGTACACTATGACTACATTAAAATATATTCAAAATATATAATATTGGTGGTTGTATGTTTCAGATAAATGGTAGCATATACTACATATTCTATAATTTATACTCACCATTGATTTTACTCTTTTACATACATTTTAATCTGGTTTATTGTTTCAGTATTCCATCATGTGAGTATCACCAATTTACCCATCCCTCTATAGGTGGGCCTTGACAATTTCATTTCCATGTATGCTAAATACTGTATAAGCACTAGGAGCAAAAAGAAAAATTATATAATCCTTGCACTGGGGGCCAAAAATAGAGTTCCCTGTGGAAATGCCAAACCTGGGGAATCCCATAGCTATGCCAGCAGTCAGATTGGTATGTGGAGAGCTCAAGAGGGGAGTAAAGGCTTAAGAAATAAACCTAGAAGTTTGTGCATCTAGGTGGAGGCTGAAGTCACAAGAATAGATTAACTGGCCAAGGGAACAAATGAAAGTGCTCATCTCATAAACATGAGACATTACATGTTTGAGTGGTTTGTATATAGCAACAGATAATAAAAAGAGGTCATTCTACCAATATTCCCATAGCAAACTGACTGGGAGTAGTGATTCTCTATAGAAAATCATGAAAAGAATCCACACAAGTAGCATACCTGGAATTTCTGGTGTGCCTGACAGCCAGGACATCGCAACAACCACACCATCAACATCATCTCAGCACCATGGCATCATGTAGCCAGAGACACATCTTACTATTTCAGCTTTTCCCCAGCATTCTGACGGCCTTCCTTAAGCTATAGTCAGGTAGGATTTGGATACCTGCAAAAACTTTAATGATATCCCATTTACACTCTCAGCTGTTCTAACTTACAGACTGTTATAAAAGAGAACATAAAGACAATCACATTGTACCTTACAGTATATGCTACCAGTATGAGTCTGTCATCTACGTAAGCATCAGGAAAAAAAAAACCCACGAAATGAGATGTAAAAGTAGCAACAGAAGAGGGCTGATGCTTACAAGGCAGTTTTGAAAGACCAAGTCAGAAAGCCCTGGGCAATCACTGGGGCTACTAATGAGTAAAAGGCGCCTCTCAGAGACAGGTAAGACCCTCTACCTGCAGAGCACAGGCACGCCAAGACCAAGAACACCAAGATGACCAGGATCAGCAGGAAAGAGAAAGGCTGCACATAAACCAGCAATGGAATAAAAGAGCAGTGGGGTCGGGGATGGGACTCTTAAGTAATAGAAGAGAAAGGCTCCATGGAAGCAGTGTCATTTGAGCAAAATTTTGAAGGGCATACAAGACTTGGCCTGCAGAGAACAAACAGGTAGAGGCAGGAGTGGGACCACAAAAATTGTCTCAACTCTAGATTAGTTCATAAGGAAAGAAATGGAAAATACAATGTATTTTTTAAAAACCTACATTTTGACATATCCTCTTGCATAACTGTACTTTCACGCTCCTTCAAGGACCAGCTTGAGCCTATACTTTCAGAAATTACCATTTCTGCTAATTATCTGGATTTTGCATTTGAGCACATTACCATTTAAAATGTATGCATTCATACATATATAATTTATATCTTCCATTTTCCAAAAATGATTTATAGCACAGTAGTTCACTTCATACTGTCTTTTCCAGTCACTGTTTTTGCATATCTCTTATCTATTCATCTATATTATAAAGTTCTTTTGAAGGAGGTTTGTGTATTGTACAACTTTGGCACTTCCAAAATTTTTGGCACGTGCCAGTGCCTGACAGATCCTTGTTAATGGACTTCAGCCTTGGTAATATCATTTAGGGGCAGGAGGTCTCCCTAAAATGCTATTTTCCTGGTGAATCCACCCAGCCAAATTGACTTTTGAAATGCAAGCCAGTTTATTTGTTTAAGTATTATGTTCATGTTTTATTTTTAATTGACCCATAGAAATTGGACATATTTATGTGGTACTGTGACATTTCGGTGCATGTATACAATGTGTCAATATCAGATGAGGGTTACTGGCATGTGTACCGCCTTGGAGACATAATCATTTCTTTGTGCTGGAAACAGTCACAATCTTCTCTACTAGCTATTCTTAAATATTCAATTAATTGCTGCCAACCAATTACTCTATTGTGCTATAGAACATAAGAAATTGTTCCTCCTGACTAAATGCACCCCTAAACCCATTTACCACCTTCTCTCCATCCTCTCACTCCTACTCTTTTCTCACTCTGGTTACCACTATTATACTCTCGTGTGTGTGTGTGTGTGTGTGTGTGTGTGTGTGTGTGTGTGTGTGTCTCTGCATGTACCACGGATCGAACTCAGGTCCTGGCACGGCAGGCAGCGGCACCACTGAGCTAAATCCCTAGCCCTTATACTCTCTTAAACATAAAGATAAAACTTTTTAAAGATAAAAAGTTTATCTGAAGCTCTATAACATGGACTCATGGGCTATTCTTGCTGAAAACACTGACTCTTCACTTGGCCCTGCACATGTCCAATGGATAACTAAAAGTAAGATAATAATTTGGCATCTCTGCCTCCATTTTCATCTATCTTCTTTACTCTGCCAGTCACCTTGGGTTCTAAGAACAAGTCTGATGAGTAAACTTCTTATGATGAGTGGAAACTAGCCCCAGGCAAGAGCGGTTGGTCAGCTTGGTCAATGAGCTTGACTATGTACACACTTATGGTCCCCTTGTCTATATCACCTGGGGGCTCATGTCAGTACTCCAGAAGACAGGGATGAAAACACAGGTCCCTTGTTTTCCCAGTATCTCATAGTGACAAAAATTTCTTGCTTTTCACCATTGCCCTTTGTAACTGTCTGGCCCTGATTTGTTAAGATCCCGAGTCCCCCTTTTTAAGGACAAAGGGCGTGAAAACCAAACCAAAATTTCCCCTCTGAAGAAAATTAACAAAGGATGTCCTCGTAAGACACACTGAGGTCTTCCCAAGAGAATGAAGTCACTGTTCACAAAGATTCCAGGAAATGACAGCTATAGGATATTAACTAATATCCCTTATTGGTTTTGCCTCCAACACCCATCTGGGATTTAACAACCAACATTCATATTCTCTAAAAATCAACATTGTCACTAACCTGGGAAATCACCATGCATCCTACTTTGAGTGGGTTTTCCAATGCAGCTTCCTGTCCCCCTTTTAAAATCTTTTGGGGAATATTTTTAAGTCAGTATCTCAAAAATGTAATTTTTACAGTTGGAATTATTCTCTAGCCTTTTATCTAGTGAAGTCTTTCTGCAACTGACCTGCTGTGTGTTCCAGTTCAGCACAGGGGACTTACTATATCTTGGGTCCATCCAGAAGGAACCTCGCTTCCCCTATAGCATGATCCCACATCATCCTATAGTACGAAGTGAGGGGGTTCCATTATCAGTATTCAAACAAGCTATGTTCCAAGTTCTAAATCTGGAACTCAGAATTCAGTTTCTCCATAGAAATAACCCCTAAGAGCTAAATTCTCAGAAGAGCCCACACAGCCTATATGCTTCCAACACAGTACATGTGTTTCTATAAGGAAGAACATCTCAAATCACTTGTCATCAGGTATGCATCTGGGCGTTCTGTGCCACCAACTTAAGGGAATTGCCCTGGTTAGTGGAGGCCCTACTTGAAGACACGGAAGGGCAATGACTGCCCTTGCTTATAGAAACATTGCAGCCACTTGCTACCTAGTCCAAAAAATCTAGAACAAGATCTTCGGATATCAAATATAATGGAGCTTATAAAAGGCATTTTTCAGTGTCTAGAGACCCATCCTAAAAGCCTTGATTACTCAATGAGTATTTTACTAATATAAATGTTGTATATTTCTCTAGCACACCCACATTGAACCACATTGAGAAGTTCTCATCTCTCAAGTTGTTTAGCACTTTATTTCAAACCTCTCTTAGGGCCTTTACAAATTTTGCTCATTATTTGAATATCTGTTCTTGTATTCTTGGAAATCCAGTCACCATCATCACCAGTACAAAGCTACTTTATAGATGGCATTTCATTGGAGTCAATATCCAACAAATCTCATCCCTTAATCCTTATAAGCATGCCATTAAGTAGATATACTCAGAAGAGATGTAACTAGCATGGTAGCACATGCCTGTAACCTCAGCATTCTGGGAGGCTGAGACAGGATTGCAAGTTCCAGCCTAAGCTGGGCAACTTTAGAAAGACTGTCTCAGTTTTATTTTTATAATTAACTAAGTGCTAGAGTTGTAGCCCACTGTGAAGGTCCCGAGTCCAATCCCTAGTACAGAGGGGTAGAGTACACCTAACCCAAAGAGCAACTGGTAGCCTCCAAACTTCCATCCAAGTCTGGCAGCTATCCGCCTTCTTTGCAGCGCTCAAGGGTGCTTCTGCCATTGTGCAGGAGGTTCTCAGGGTACACAGGCAACCATTTGTTTTTCAAATAAGCCACCTGTCAGAGCCACCTGGCTCAATACCACACCCTGTTAAATGCAGCTCAACACTCCCCTAGCTACACACACACTTCTGTTCAGCTTCTGCAGATTCAAACTCCTATTTGCATATAGGCTTATGCTGAATTTCCCAAAGCTTTTAATATTGACATGCTAACAAGAAAAGGGGGGTATGGAGTTAGAAAAAGCACAAGTTTGCCGAAGAGGATGATAATGCACTAAGACCATCCTACAAAGACTGAGAAACAGGACAGTGGGATTACCTATGGTAGTTAGGGGAGCTTTATGATGAGCTATCCCTGCAACTATAGCCCAACCCTCTACCAATAGACTTAAGCTGTATCAGGGCTGTTACTTCATGAGATTCTAGCATCTGATATGCTTCTGTAGATTTCTAATTTCAGCTGCAAAGAGAGAAAGTGTTCAGGAAATGAGGCAGACACATCTAAGGGCCTACAGAAACAAAGAAGAATCCAAATGAATAACTGCATGCCTTGAAGGGATTTCATATAAGAGCCTCAAAGATGGAAAGAAAAGATTAGAAGAAAATGATGGGGGGGGCAGATACAGCCCTAAGCTGAAATTCAGGTGAATCATGAAACCAAGAACAGTGATGGGAGAGAGATATTAAAAAGGATGACTGGGTCTTGCATTTGAAATGTGAATAAAGGAGATTAGGAAGATCAGGAGACAAGCCCAAGGTCACAGAGTGGGGGAATGAGAGATTATACAGTATGTAGCTCCTGCTTCTAGGTTCTCTCTAACTGCACACAACTTTGGTGAAGGTTCAGGATTTTGTTTCTTTGGTTTCTTGGGGGTTTTGCCTTTCACTATTAAGAATTGAACCCAGAGCCTCTGCACTGAGCTACATCCCCAGCCCTTTTTTATTTCTTGAGATAGGGTCTCACAATTCACTAAATTGTCCATGCTGGGCTCAAACTTGTGATTTTACCACTTCAGCCTCCTAGAGCGCTAGGACTACATGTGTACCACCACACCTAAGAATTTTCCATTTAAAAATAAAAGCACTCAGTTTGTTCATGCTATAAAAGGCTTACGAAGGTACTGCAGAGTTCCTAGAAAAGGGTGGCCAGCTACTTGGCTGAACCTTAACTGTTCAGCCTTTCCAACTGAGTGATACCCAATTTCTTAAAAAGCCACAAGCATAAATGAATGTACATGACATTCTGGAGCTCGAAATGGATTGGCAGTGGCAGATGCAGGAAGTGATGCTGTATTAACTAGGAACAGCACAATAACTTGATACTCTAGTAATAGTTGATTTACTGAATCTCTGAATAATCCAGACTGTTGGGTTGAACTCCAAAAAAAACTTTATTTTCAAGAACTGAATGCTATGTATGACATAAAATTCAGATTCCATCAAGGAAAAAGACTGATTGACAATATTTTCTTTTAAAAGACTTCATAAATTTTAAAACAACTGGCAGAATGAGAAGAAACTTTCACAGTCATAAAAGAAAAAAGGATTATTATGGATTATTCTCAAAGCTTCTGTAAGTCAGTAGAAAATATGGACAATGTGTAAATAGAGCAGATAACTTACAAAAAGGTATCTGACTCCACTCATAATCCAAGAAATGACCATTAAAGGATGATATAACATTTTTAAATTAGGAGATTTACAAAATAAAAGATTCTCAACACCAAGAAGGAAAAAGGCATGCTGCTGCTGTTCACAGAACTGCAAAATTGGTTAAATCCAAAAAGCATCATGACCTCATCACACCACATCTAGAAGTCTCTCTCGTAGAAGCACTGGCTTGAGAGTGAAGGAGTGCATAGCTGCTATAACAGATGTGAACTGCAGTGCAGTTTATAAATGCAAACACAGAACTGCCCAAAATATCCATCAACAGAAGGCTGGTAACAAAGCATGTGGTCACCCTCACCCATGTAAATCTTAAAGACACTACAATGTACCAGACTTTTATGTATTGATTTGGGAAGAAAATGAAGGTATATTAACAAAAAACACAAGTCACAAAATATTACATACAGTATGACTCTTATTTTGTTTTTAAAACTCCACCTACATAGGAAAATGGATACATATTGAGGATAAACTCATAAGTGAAATAAATAAGTCACAAATGTGTAAATGCTGAATAGTTTCTCTGGTATGAAATACTATGTTAGTGCATAAGATCCTAATGAGATAATTGACCATGTGAAATAGGAAGAAAAAGGCTAAAGGTGTAGGGAAAGTGGGAAGGGTAGGGGAAAGGTAATAAGGGGAAAATATGAGAAAAAGAAAAAATGGAAATAAAGTGTTTGTAAAGGGGGAGTGTTTGTAAATGAGGGAGTGAAAGGAGGGCAGGGGAAAAAATGAGAACCAAGGCCTGTCATGTAAAGGTATAAGATCCCAATGATGAATGTAACTGTACTGTATACCTAAAATGTACCAATAAACTAAAATCATAACAAAAATAAAACTAAAAATAAATAAAAACTCCACCTATCTATGGAAACATAGTCTATGTAAGCAAATGGTTAGTCCAGAGAAATTTGCACCAAAACTTATCAGTCTTAATTCTGAGCAGATGGGCTTAAAAAATGAAAAAGGAAATGTATTAAAAAGCATGGTAAGGCTATAGATACTTCTTTTTCTTTCTTTTCTACATTTCCCTGATTTTTTTGTAATACCTATAGATTCTTTTGTGTCAAAGAATTCAATTTAAAAACTATTTCATAATGAAACATAAAAAGCAGTTCATTCCGGAGGAAAGAAATCCACCATCAAGGAGAGACCTGCAACCAATGACCCTCATATTCCACTACTTCCCCATGAAAGCACCTGTCAAATCAAAGAAATAAGGCTATAGATTAATATTGCTTTCATCAAAGACAAAGCAGACCAAGCCAACCTAGTGTTAGAATGCTTTATCCATAAACGCGATAACTGACACACAGGCTTCTTTTGAAGGACTGACTCTATAACTATTAGGACACTGTGATCTAAGGCTCGGACTACTGCCTGTGGATCTGCCCAACAAAAGAAACCTACAGTCCTGACTAGTTCCTGCACTCCCACAAGCAGCCCCTCTTGAGTGTGCCCATTTCAGAAAAATATAGTTCCACTAAAACATCTTCTGTCATGGTTGGCTTGACAAAGCCATTTATCCTTAAGGGACTGATGCCTTGGCAAGGCCAATAATTCTAGCCACAAAACCAAAGTGAGAGTAATGACTTACTTCAGCTCCTTAGTACTCCCAGGCCTGCAGTTAACCCATACAATAAAGGGCCTAAAGCAAGACCTTAAATAAACAGCTTTACCATAGTAACATTTCTGCTCCACCAGACACTTGGTAGTTGCTCACATAATGAAGCAGGCATGTTTCCTGGGGTATAAGAGGAGGTTTCCTATTCAAGGCAGCCTATGCAGGTACACATGCAGGGTACCCTCTATGGGATGTATACACATGGGTAAGTTTTCCCTGAGTCTCAAATATAACCGAGTCCCCATTGTAAGGGCACACACCTGTGAGGCTGCCTACCTTTTAGAAAATACATAGTCCAGAATCATGTAGAAGAAATGAGTAAATCAATGAAACCCAGGGATTCAGACTGATCAGTCACTGGCTCTAGCCACTTGCATAAGCAATGTCCACACAGTAGGCGCTTTGCATGTGAACACAATGCCAGAACTCATGCCTCCTGACCTATGCTATGTTACTGAGCACAATCCTCCAAGGGTACTTTTGTGGGCCACCTGCTTTATGCTTCCAGATTGCTCAGGGTGATATGGTCCATCTCTAGATAGAGAACAGAATTTTTGAGAAGTCCAAAAGGAAATCAGTCTCAAATACAGTGAACATGTCAGATAGTACCACCCACCTCCTGATCCCAATTTCTTCTGGTACCAATCCTTC